ACGTGGTTCCAGTGCCAAAGAAAGATGGTAAAGTCCGGATGTGTATCGATTACAGGGATTTGAACAGGGCCAGCCCTAAGGACGATTTCCCTCTGCCTCACATCGACGTTCTTGTTGACAATACTGCTCAACACAAGGTGTTCTCCTTCATGGATGGTTTTTCAGGGTATAATCAGATCAAGATGGCTCCTGAAGAAATGGAAAACACTACCTTTGTTACTCAGTGGGGCACCTTCTGCTACAAGGTCATGCCATTCGGGTTGAAAAATGCTGGGGCAACCTACCAACGTGCCATGGTTGCTTTATTTCATGACATGATCCACCATGAGATTGAAGTATACGTCGATGATATGATTGCAAGGTCCCAAACTGAAGAGGAACACCTTGACCATCTGCGGAAGCTGTTTGACCGACTGAAGTTGTACAAGCTGAGGTTGAACCCAAACAAATGCACCTTTGGGGTGAGATCTGGAAAATTGCTAGGTTTCATTGTAAGCGATAAAGGTATTCAAGTGGACCCTGCCAAGGTGAAAGCCATATAAGAGATGCTGACTCCCAAGACAGAGAAAGAAGTCTGAGGCTTTCTAGGACGACTGAATTACATTGCCCGATTCATCTCGCATCTAACTGCTACCTGTGAGCCAATCTTCAAATTGCTGAAGAAAGATCAAGTAGTACGTTGGAACGATGAATGTCAGGCTGCTTTCGAAAAGATAAAGGAATATCTCCAAGAACCAGCCATTCTTATGCCACCAGTGGAAGGGAGACCTCTAATATTATACTTGACAGTACTTGACAACTCAATGGGGTGTGTGCTGGGGCAGCATGACGAGTCTGGCCGAAAAGAGCACGCTATTTATTACCTGAGCAAAAAGTTTACCGACTGTGAGACTCGGTACTCACTGCTCGAGAAAACTTGATGCGCTCTGGTATGGGCTGCTCGCCGGCTGAGACAGTATATGCTGACTCACACTACTCTGTTGATTTAAAAAATGGATCCAATCAAGTACATATTCGAAAAGCCTGCTCTGTCTGGAAGAATAGCAAGATGGAAAATGATCTTGACAGAATATGACATCCAGTACACAACTCAAAAGGCAATTAAGGGAAGTGTATTGGCAGACCATTTGGCACACCAACCTGTGGACGATTACCAATTGTTGAACTTTGAATTTCCAGACGAAGATATCATGGTAGTAACTGATTGTGAAGTACCTGGACCGGATGAAGGACCTGAGGAAGGATCCCGATGGTCTATGCATTTTGACGGAGCCTCGAACGCTTTGGGTAACGGCATCGGCGCTGTGATCATATCCCCTAAAGGTACTCATACTCCACTCACCGCCCGGCTGTGTTTCAACTGCACCAACAACATGGCAGAATATGAGGCATGTATCATGGGTCTTCAAGCTGCAATCGACTTAAGGATCAAGTTTCTGAGTGTCTTCGGAGATTCCGCTCTCGTGATCAATCAGATCAAAGGCGAGTGGGATACGAAACACCCAAATCTTATTCCTTACAAGGAGTATGTATTGACTTTGCTTCCCCACTTTGAAGAGATAACTTTTGAGCACTTCCCAAGAGAGGAGAATCAGTTAGCAGACGCACTAGCTACGATGTCTTCAATGTTCAAAGTCAAATGGGACAACGAGGCTCCCCGAATCATTATCTGGAAGTTGGACGAACCTGCATACTGTTGCGATCTTGAGGCCGAAGAGGTAACCGAAAAACCCTGGTATCATGAGGTGAAGAGATATTTGGAAGCTCAAGAATACCCCGAAGGCGCGTCGGTCAATGACAAGAAGTTCCTAAGAAGGTTTGCGGCAAAATTCTTCCTCAGCAACGGCATTCTCTACAAACGAAACCATGATTCAACTTTACTGCGCTGTGTGGATAAGACTGAAGCAGAGAAGATCATGGTAGAACTACATGAAGGTACATTCGGAACACATTCCAGTGGACATACCATGGCAAAGAAAATCCTTCGGGCAGGATATTTCTGGTCCACAATGGAAGCCGACTGTTACCAACATTCTCGAACTTGTCATAAATGCCAGATCTATGCTGATAAGGTGCACATCCCTCCGGTTCCTCTGAACGTCCTGACGGCACCTTGGCCTTTTGCAATGTGGGGCATTGATATGATCGGTGAGATCCGACCGACGGCATCCAACGGGCATCGCTTCATCTTGGTGGCGATTGATTACTTCACGAAGTGGGTAGAAGCAGCTTCCTACGCCACCGTAACCAAGAGCGTCGTGGCACGTTTCATTCGGCATAACCTGATCTGTCGGTACGGCGTCCCGGAAAGAATCATTACGGACAATGGTACCAATCTTAACAACATTACGGACAATGATCACTGTGCAGAAGATGACAGTGACCTATAAAGATTGGCACGAAATGTTACCATTTTCTCTTCATGGGTACCGTACCTCAGCACGGACATCAACCGGGGCAACACCCTTTTCCTTGGTCTATGGCATGGAGGCAGTCTTGCCGATTGAAGTCCAGATACCCTCTCTCCGGATAATGAAGGATGCAGACTTGAGCGAAGATGACTGGATCCAGACTCGACTTAATCAATTAAACCTAATTGACGAAAAGAGACTCACCGGTATCTGTCATGGTCAGACGTACCAAAAACGGATGATCAGGGCATTTAACAAGAAAGTCAGACCACGAGAGTATCAAGTTAGGGACCTGGTAATCAAACGCATCATCCTTCCTCAAGGTGATCCCAGGGGCAAATGGACCCCTGTTGTACCCCAAAATTTGCCCTCCTAATTTCCTGTATTTTTTGCTTAGACTTTTGCATTCATCTGCACATTTTTCATTAGGTCACTAACATGGCATACATTTCATTCAATATAGCTCTGAGGTTCAAAGTTCAGTGGTTGTGTGATACTAGGGTTTCATAGTGGTTAAGGCGCTCATATCCAATAAAGGACTTCTTCTCCCTCAAGCAGCAAGGCTATTATCTTCTGATAAACAACCGATTGTAGGTCATTATGGTCAAGAACTCTAGGACGTGACCTAGCATATGTGGGCTTTGAATCATGACGTCCTTTCCTATAAGTATGCTTTTCATTTGATTAGGATTAATGACTGTGACTTGACAATCGTCTACTCCACAGTTAATCAAATTAGGTTTTTGTTGAATCATGGTTCAAAGATGTTTTATCCGGATATTTCTCTGTGCGTCTAAACAAGGAATCAAGATTGTGAGGGTTTCACATCAAGGGAATTCTTGTGTGATTCAGAATTTATCATCCATCTGTAAGATGTTCCTTATGACACTAATCTCAAGTTGAAATAACCGATCGCTAAGGGCTGAGGATTGAATTGTGAAGCGTGGTTCATGACCTAAGATATGAATTCATAGATTTCTCCTTAACCAAGGCAATCATTGTCCTCATCATTGTCATTTGTTATCTGCGATGTGAGTAGGTTTGGATTGAAGTAGGTTTCCCATAGAAGAATTCATGCAAGGTAATTCAAGGTTCAAGGCATTCAAGGCAGGGTTTGTTCAACATGGCATACCTGGTTGATGGGCTTACAAGCTCTTATGAGACCTTGAGATGTATAATCATGGGTCAATTTCAAAGATGTGTGGATAAGATCTGTTGACTTCGGTTAAAGTAAGCTTTGAAAAATTAACTTTGGGACCAAGGTCTCCCTTGAATTTTCATCTAATATGTGTTGGGAATTCGAGTTGCATTTGAAGAATGGTATGGTAAAGGAAAAGAAATATTGGTTCAGAAAAGAAAAAATTCATTAAAAATCAGGGTTTCTATTCATTGATAAAAGTTCAAGTAATTGAAGATCAGGGGAAATAAGGTTTCATATTAATCTTGATCATATTCTTTCATTATCATTTACATCCATCTTTGATGATTTAAGGTCGTCAATTAGGGAAGGACTTTGTCAAGATAAGAGACTTGTGGATTGAATCGTGGAATATGAGGCATGATACAAAAGGCAAGGTTGTGAATTTTTTAGGATCAAGATCTTATTGACTATTCAAATTATTTGTCATTCAAGTTGATTTGGGTTCAAGATTGAAGTTAGGAGTTCATTGAGAATGCAAGTGTGATGTGGATTTGAAGTTTGATTTGAGTTCAAGATGTTTGAAAGTGTTTGATTGAATTAAAGTTGGCGAAGAGCCTTAAGTATTGGTCATATGAGTTTCTTGGAAGGTAAAGTACAGACTGCGAGGTCTTGTTTCAAGTCAGAGTTTATACACATTACAAAAACGTTCATCGTTATTCCAGATTCAAGTTGACATGTGTTCAAAGTTTATTCGAACCCTTTCATTCATGATTCAAGAAAATACTATCCAATTCCATTCAATTTCATTCAACTGTAACAATACCTTACAAGAAAATTTGATGCTTTCATGTCTTCAAGCATTTTTTCAAGACTTTGTCATTTAAACTCCGTCCAAAAAAAAATCCATCACCCAACATTTCAAGCTCAAAGGTCATTTACAATTCACACTATAAATTTCAAGTTCATCCAAACCAAACATTCATTACAATCCCATTACACCAATATTCTACAAAAAAAAAAGTTACAAGATACACTTGAACAAAATTCTTTAGTCCTAAAGGTGCTAAAATTCCATGAGTAAACTTCTAATTCCATGCCATGCCAAAGTTCTTCATCTTCAGTTCACGACCTGCACATTCATACAAAAAAATCCAAGTCAATACAAGCAATCATGCCAAAATATCCTATGCTCATACAAATTACTCGACACGTGAAAAACCATTAATTAACCAAAACCAAAACTCAAACACAGGGGATTTCACTGTATCAGAAAGATTGAAGACTAGTGTACATGTTAATTTGGTTTTCTATCTAATTGTGGGATCTATTGGCCTTTTCGGAATTATTCTTCTCATTATGATACACAGGAGCTGCTTGTGCAGGCATTTGCTTTTGTCCCACTCATGTACATGTACATCTGCACATACTATTCTTTATTCAAAATTGGAATGTTGATGTTTTACTCGCTGACGCCCAGACAGACCAGCTCAGTTAACTTGCTTATGATATGCTCGATGGTGGCTCGTTATGCTCCCCCTATATCATACAACTTCCTCAATCTCATTCGTCAGGGCCCTCTTTATCTTAGTACCATGTTTGCTATGTCATATGGTATTGGTTTTTCTTGCCTTTCTGCAACTCTTGTTCATGTATTGCTTTTCCATGGAAGCGATATATTGCAGCTGAGTAAGTCTGTGTTTCAAGGGAAGAAGATAGATATACACACGAAGATCATGAGAAAAAATTATAAACAAGTTCCTGAATGGTGGTTTTTATGCATTCTTTTGTTCAGCATTATGGCAGCTACATTTGTGTGTGAGTATTACAACGATCAACTCCAGCTACCATGGTGGGGTGTGATGTTAGCATGTGTTGTTGCTGTATCGTTTACTCTTCCTGTTGGAATAATCAGAGCTACGACAAATCAGGCACCTGCTTTGAATGTGATAACAGAGTACATAATTGGATACATCTACCCTGTTTATCCTATTGCAGTCATGTTGTTTAAAGTGTATGGGAACATGAGTATGAAACAGGCCATTTTCTTTTTGCAAGATTTTAAGCTTGGCCATTACATGAAGATTCCTCCTAGAGCAATGTTCTTGGCACAGGTACTGGACACAATAATAGCTGCAATTGTGCATCTATTAACAGCATGGTGGCTAATAGAAACAGTTCCAAATATATGCCATAGGGAATTGCTTCCACCAGGAAGCCCATGGACTTGCCCAGGTGATCATGTATTCTATGATGCATCTGTCATATGGGGTTTGATAGGGCCTCGCAGAATATTTGGAAATCTAGGACACTACTCGGCCATCAACTGGTTTTTTCTTGGCTGGTACTATTGCTCCTTTAGTTGTTTGGCTAGCACACAAAGCCTTCCCTGATAAACCATGGATTAAAATTATTACTATGCATGTACTGTTAGGAGCATTATCCGAAATGCCTCCAACTACACCAAGTTACTGAATTTAGAAAACTAACTCTAACAGTAGTTTTTAGCTTCCAACTGACTTGTTCCTAACATCTAACATACCTAACTTCTAAGAGAAATTTCACTGGCAGTTATTAACAGAACCAATAGAAGTTAACAGTTCTAACTGCTTAAAATCTGACCGTTCATCTTGTAACTGACTGATTTGATTCAACGGCTCAGATCTTCACGTCTCTAACCGTTTCCATCTCCCTTAACTACCTATATAATCCAAAACTCCCTCCAAGTTTCAGAGGACGATACTTTCTCTTTTCCAGTTTCAAACTTCATCCTCTCTCCACCATTTTTTTCTATCCTCTTCCATCAACACGCTTCATTTTTCACCCAGAACTCAAAAAGTTTTCGAAATTCTCTCTCTTTCTTCTCTAACCAATACTCTTCACCCTTCAAGCCACTCTTCATTTTTACTTACTTCTGAAACCCTGCTTCATCTTCATCAAATCATCTCTCTGTAAACTCAAATCACACTCCTACGATCTCACTCAAACACAACTCACAACGACAACCGCAACAACACCAACATACAAATCATTAACAATTTTCACAAAAGAAATAGAAGAAAAAGAAGAAGAATTCGTGCAAAGAAGTTAAGAGATATTGTACCTGAAACTTCTTCAGATTTTTCGTTGTCGGCATCACCCTCGAAGAGACACCGGGTGCCTTCTCCGGTTGGTAAGCCTTCTTCAATCTTTCATTCTACATTTTATGCTCTTTGTCGAAGAATGAAACTTGAATTTTAGTCCGCGAAGAGGTTGATGGAAGAGAGACGTGTGAACCGAGGCGGATCAAAAACGAACAATGAAGAGAGGAGCAGAGGTTTGAGATACGAGTGAATTGTGAAACCAAAGTAGAAAGAACGAGTCGGAGGTGTGATTCGGCACCATTGAGGGAAGAGGAAGAGGACTTTGTTTCTCTTGAAGTCTAACTGTCACACGATTTGGGAACCCTGGGAACAAAATCACGCCATTTGTTTGTTGTGTTTTTCTAATTCCTTTTATTGATAACAGTGGAGATACACGAAGCTGAATAAAAGGTGGATGGATCTTGATATGATCTTAGTGGACCGAGGTATACACCATTCAGGTCCATGGCCATTATTTTCGGGAGTTGGTTTTTGGTGAGGTATAAAATATTGGGTTGGGCCTGCGAGTCAATGTTACTACAATACACACCCTGCTTCAGACTCACATACCTCTGTGTAGAGTTTTTCTAGCTTTTCTTTAGCCTTTTCTTTTCATAGTCGTTAGATAACAATTTTGTTAATTAAAAATATTGATATAATAAAAACCTAAAAAATGTTAGATTGTAAGAGATATTTTTAGAAATTAATTCTTGATTATCCGATTACTCGAGACTCGTGATTCACTTTTGTTTTTGGAGATTTTAGTCTTATGCATGCTTATTGTGTGATATACGGATATGCTTGAGGTTCCGATTGTGATTTATTTTCACATCAATGATGCTTCAACACTTATTCCGAGCATTGGATTTCTAATTCTTTTCTTTGTTGATGTTAGCAGCTCATGAGATCATCAAGTTTCTTTGCTTTTTACTTTGCTCTACGAGCTAGTACTCGTTTGGTATATTTTATTTCCACTCTCACCCCGCATTTATCACTTCCCATAGATTGCATGGTATGATAACATTAGATTTAGAAATAGGCTAGTCTTCCTGTGACTTTCGTCTTCCTGTGACTTTCGTCTTCCTGTGACTTTCGTCTTCTTGTGACTTTCGTCTTCCTGTGACTTTCGTCTTCCTGTGACTTTCGTCTTCCTGTGACTTTCGTCTTCCGGTGACTTTCGTCTTCCTGTGACTTTCGTCTTCCTGTGACTTTCGTCTTCATGTGACTTTCTTTCCTCCTTTGCATATGCAGTTAAAACAAAAAACTTTTTTTTACAAACTTCAAAAATACATAAAAATTTACTGACAAAAACCATGTCTTGGCTAAGTTTGAGAGATGATGAGCGGGTTTCTTCTCGACATTATTATTCTCTTGTTCTAAGCTTTGGTATGATTCAAGTCTCAAAGACTCATTTCATGAATAAATAGAGAAATGGCTAAAATCTCTCTCTTGAGGTTAACTAGCTATTATCTACAAGCAAAAACACCAACAAACATAAAAATATTTTTGCCCTCGGCCCTTTCTTTCAAACCCTTTTCAAAAGAGCGTATTAATTCACTTCTGTGCTGACGCGTAAATCTCCGAAGGTCGAGTTGCGGTAGAAGGCGAGATTAATACTGTTCGTTAAAGAAAATACAAACAAACAAAAACATATAAGCCAAACTACGGCTGCTCTGATTCCTTAAAAGGGATACGTAGGCATCGGGGTAGGGCCCGAACGAGAACAATTTTATTTTCCCTACATTCTTTTCTCCTTTTCTTTTGCATGCACTTTCCCTTTAGCAATAATAAACCGTAAGCATAGATTAAACACACCCATAAGATAGACAACAAGAGTGGATACCGTAGAGTACTACGGGCGTGTGGGGTGCTAATACCTTCCCCTCGCGTAACAGACTCCCTTACCCGATCTCTCGGTCGCAAGACCGTGACTTCTCCCTTCCTCAGGTTTTCTCGATGTTTACCTTTCCCTACATGTGGGATAAAAGACGTTCGATGGCGACTTCATTGTTTGATGATTTTCAGCCGGTTGTTTCAGCTGGCGACTTCACTGGGGACAGGTCGACCAAATGCTGGTCCATCCCGGAGTCGCTCCTAGCTCTTGCTTTCTTTTCTTTGGGTGTCTATTTTTATGCTTTCAGTTTACTCATTTGTACATGTTTTCCTGAGCATAAGTTTGCATTGCATTTTATTGCTTTCCCTATTTGTTATCTATTATGCTGGACTCTGTTTTCCATGTTGGGTGGGGATGTCACTATTGAGGTAAAAGGCCTAGTACCCAGGCCAGAGTGCACTAGGACACTAGGAATAGAGTGGGGGCATGACGGCTATAGGATGTGGTCCGATTAGTGCAGTCTTGTCATATACCACGCTCGGATGAGGTTCAAATGAATTACTATCGGCACCCACGTCTGTGGGTAAGCCCATAGTACTTTCAGGCGGACCCATGATTTTCGAGTTACCATTGTCTTACCCTGACCTAGTCTTCACCCGTGAGCGGGGAGGGATTTGTCATTACAGGTACAGTTGGTGCTATGTTCAAATGGTTACTCATGCTCAGATGGAGACTGTGATCGGATGGTGATTAGTGGTTCTAATGATCATGTTATGGACTTCTGTCAATGACTTATGCATATGGTGTTCTGTTGGTGACTATATGGGTCTCAGATTTATTTATTTTTTTTCTTCTGGATTCGGTATTCAGGATGGTTATCTAGTTATATTCCGGACTTTTGATCCTGATATATTTTACTTGGTCAGAGATTATACAACGGTTAATCATGGTACTTGGTTCCATTGTATGCTGAATTTGGTTCTGAACCTTTGATCATGTGATATCCATATTATTCAGCAGATTTATACAGCAGTTATCCAGAGGATTGTACAATTGTTATGCTGAACTTTTGAACTTATGTCATTGCACCTTGCATCATAACAAAAAAAAAGGAAATGTGAAAGATTATATGCAAAAAAAAATGTTTGAACATGGCATTGCATCCGCTCATTCACCTCATGCATCTATAGCAGGTACTCTGAAGGTACTCAGAATGGGGAATCCTTATTCAGACTCGGTATTTTCTTTTCAGAGCTGTAAATCTTGACTTTTCGTCGCTTCGTGGTCAAATTCAAGATATGGAACAACTTCGTGGGGAATTGGACGAGATGAAAGAACATATGGGATTCGTGGTGCTAGACATGAAGGATTTGGTCCGTGGACAAGAACTCCTGAAAGAAGAGAACACTCAGTTGAAGACTCAATTGAATTTGGTTATGGAAATTTTGGGGACAATGTTGAAGAAAGAAGATGTTTCTATGCCTGCCACAATAGGAGTTACCATTCCTCCCCATAACCTGAGGACTCTTGTAGGTCAGGGAGTATCTCCTCCGCAACCGTGCATTCCAGGATCCTCCCATCCGCAACAAGTTGTCACTTCCCAAGAGGACCCAAAAGGCAAAGTCCGTCAGCAGAGGCCAAAACAGCCTGAACGAAAATTTGATCTTATTCCAATGTTGTATGCACAATTGCTTCCTCCCCTGCTAGAATTACATTTGGTTAAACTCCGAATTTTCACTACACATGAAAACCACCCTTATGGCTTTAACGACAATGCTAGGTGCGATTTTCATTCTAGGGCACCTGGTCATGATATTGAAGATTGCGTAGCTTTTAAGCACCAAGTCTAGGACTTGCTTGATGCAGGGACAATTCTCTTCACTCCCGAAGGTCTGAGTGTGCAAATCAATCTTATACCAACCACTACAAAGAATAGGGCTACGCCTTCTCCTCTTCAAAGCTCTATTTCACGATCGGAGTCACGTCATCCACAACCTATAATCCCGGAAAGTTCTCACCAGTAGTCGTTTGTAAGTTGTGGAAATCGGTTGGTTAATCAAAACCAGAATGTTCCTCGTGTTCACTTGGCTCAGTGTGCTACTCGGCAACAAACCTATCAACAAATACATACGCAACAAGGTAAGCAAAAGGATAAGAAGCCAAAGAGGGTGTTCGACATTGTTCCTTTGACTTATGGCCAGCTGTTCTCTCAGTTACTCAAGCTTTCCTTGGTGGAACCCAAGCCACTGAAGCCTGTCATTCCTCCTTGTTCTATGGATTCCAATCCTAATGTGCAGTGTGATTACCATGCTGGGGCACTAGGTCATTCCATTGAAGACTGTCGGGCTTTCAAAGAAAATGTGCAAGACCTGCTTGATGCAAAGGCTATCAATTTCGGGCCAGTCAGTTAAATTTGAGGTCTCCTTCGACTCAGTAA